AGTGAAGTCCTTTAAGCTCTTCCTGAAAAAAATAAAAATAACAATAACAATAAAAAGCGTATTTGTCATGCTGAGGTGCTATTTAATAAGTGCACGACAATGAAAAGTAATGCACAACAGTCTTTTAATAATAAACCCACAAGGAACACAGGAGATAACTAAAACCAACGTAGCACAACACGTCGACAAACTATAACCAGCAAGAAACTGAACACAACAGGGAGTATAAATACAAAAGGAAGTGAGGGACTAATGACTTAATTAATGGAACACAGGTTAACTGAATAACTAATTAAACACAGAGGGAAAACTGGTAAAATGGCAAAGACACAACTAAAGCAAAACAGACTTGCATGTGACAGTATTAGTGGGACAAGAATGGAAAAAAGGTTTTACATAAAAGTTATTGGAGTGTTTTACAAGAAATTACTATTTAAGTTTTTCTACTTTAAAATTTAATTTTTTAATTCAATGTATTACGTACCATTCCATTTCTTACTAATTATTTGTGAGATTTACTAGCAATTTCTGAGTAAAAACAGTTTCAAAGTAAATCCTGCACTGTTTTTCAGTTTACATGTTGATTCAAACAAGGATTTTGTCTTTGATCATTGTTCCTCCATTAACAATGCTAAATTTGCCACTATATAAAAAAACTATAACAGGCAGGCAATGGAATATATAGATACATATAAAGCTAAACTTTAACAGGCAAAGATGCAGGAGTAACAAAAGATCAGCCAAAAAAAAGAGTCTAAACCCATGCTAAATGCACATAACAAATGTAACTAACCATATAATCATGAAAAAAATAATAAATGGATGGATGGATGGATGGATGGATAGATAGATAGTAATAATAATTACTTGTATGTAAGACTTTTGGATATGAGGCAACACTGAATGAGGGAAAGTGAGAGAGGAGAACATAAGATCTCATCTGGGTGGTGTATCTTAATCTATTATCACAAGCGCCATGGGACCATAGTGTCTTGCTGGGCGTTTAATCTGCTAAGCATCCACTCTATTAGCATCTTATATAAGTTACATGAAGGTTTGCATATAAATTTGACTTAATTACTTGCATAAATTAGCGGCTGATTATTGTAATTTTTGCATTTGAACCAAAACCAGTTTATGTTATTTTCCTCTAATGAGTGAGGGCCAGTTTGGAAAAAAAGGCAATCATGAAAATAAAACCTTTTGGCACCATGGAAAAAAGACTGGATTTTTTTTTTAAATGAGACAATAATCTTTAATTCACGGATAATGCTGTGAGGTTGCTGTAGGGCAACCATTGATCAAGCTGATCAGAGGGAGGACATTAAAACCTTCATTATTTTGGCTCCCACCCCTGGGAGCATTTCTCAGAGAGCTCTCATATAAAACCTCGCACTAACAAATATTGGCAGGTGTGCTGGCATAGAGTCAAGTAGTTTTTTTTTTTAAAGCACTGTAACAGTAAACAGCCACATTTCCCAGCATTTTTAAAAGGTTTAGGTTTAGCCTTTAGGGCATCTGCCAAGTGGAATGCATTTACAGTAATTGGCTTTTTTCCCCCATACGGTGTGTTTGTGCAAGAATACCACTTTAATATCCTGTTGACTGATAATGTTTTGTAAAATTGCAGTAGTCTCAAGCTGGTATGGCTGTTTGGCAGATCTTGTTTTATATGATGCATCACAGGGTTATTCATGCAGTTAAATGTTTTGTATGAAACTGAAAAAAAAAAAAAATAATAATAATAATAATATATATATATATATTACTTTTATTTGGTAACACTTTATTTTGATAGTCCAATTTAGACATTCTGCTGCTAACTATAAGTAATTTTGCAACTACATGTTAACTACCAGTCATTAGACTGCTGTTAGACTGTCTGCTTAATATCTGCTAACACTTTATTTTAATGGTCCCCAACAGACATTCTACTGACTATGAGTAACTATGCAAGTATGTGTCAATTTATTTTACTAACCTTAACCCCAACCAAAAAGCTAGCAGTCTACTCTAATGAGAGTTAGTTGACACATAGTTGCAAATTAATGAGAGTTAGTTGACAATAAAGTATATATTGTGTGTGTGTGTGTTTTATAGGAGATCCATTCAATTTTATTTTATTTTGTAATATGTATGTATTTATTTATTTATTTATTTATTTTGTGGTGTTAGTTGATTTGTCTTACTATAAAGCAGTCCTGTAGGATAAAATGACATTCATATGATTAACATTTTAATAGAAGATTAAACAAAAATCAAAAATAACTTTTTCAAATGTAATAATTAAATGTGCTGTATGTATTTATTTATTTATTCATTCATTCATTCATTCATTCATTTGACTGTACTACAGTAAAGCATAAAAATACCATCATATGTTTGCTGAAATTTAGGAAGCATGATAAGTTCACATACTTATCTCTCCTAAAAACAATGCTACAGCCAGTTATTTTATGTGTGTTCTGTGTCAGAATTTATTTTCGTTTTGATCTGTGTGATTCCACCCACATCGAGTTTACCCAATAAGATTTCGACTACTCGGGTGGCCAGTTGGTGCAAAACACAGCATACTGCAGCCATGTAAGCCAGCAAACAAACTGGGTCAGTGATCCCAGATTCTACCTGAACTAAAAAGCTTCAGCATTCATCTAAAAAGCTCTATGACCAGAGGAATATTAAAACAAGGATAAATCAACTTATCAACTTACCGTTTAAGGCATGTCGCCTTCCATTGTCAGTTGTGTTCATTCCTGTTGCAGGTCCTCAATCTGGCAACCCAGTTGAGCATTGAGTCTGAGGAGGAGGGGACGTAAGAAACAATGCTCTGCAGTGTTTTGAATTTGAACTGCAGTACCCCTTTCAACTGCTACCTGTAAATATTACATACTGCACCTTTAATAATGTGATTTTTTTATTTTTCTGTCACAAACCAGTCAACAGAATTCACTCGTAAAGAAGCCAAAAAGACTGAAATAAGACACATGCTCACATTAACTGCCATGTTGTCTGGATTTTAATGTAACTGTGACAGTTTACTCTCACTCCAAATTACCCACTGGCCTCTTGACTGACTCCACTGTGACCGACCGGGTCCTGAGAAAAAGGCTGTTCTTCCTCAAACGCCTGCTTCAGATTGTCCTGACATGCCAGCTGTGAGACTGATAGCCTGTGGTTGTGGCCTCATCAGCCTTCAACCAAGTACAGTTCACCCCTTTCTACCCTCAGAGGATGGAAGGCTCTATAGAAGGCTGACATCACATCAGTCAGAGTTGATAGTACTACGCCTGGACCAGATTGCTTGTGAGCTATAGTAAACATGAGCTGGGAACATATGCCTGTGAGGCCTTCTTGACAGTCTTGGGTGGCAAAGTTTGACCTATCAAATGGGAAACAACAACAAAATAAATAAATGAGAGAGACATGGTTTGATGCTTTAGTAATGCCAATTTGTGGCAGCTAAATGATTTGCTAAGATAAAAAATAAAAAATAAAATAAAAAATAAAGTGTGCGGTTGGTTGTTAATTAGCAAGTAAAGCTTTTATTTTAATTTTTTTTTCTTTGTGTGTGTGTGTGTGTGTGTGTGTGCGCGTGTGTGTGTGTGTGTGTTTTACAGGGAATTGTTTGAATGCAGAAGTCCAGACTAAAACACTCTCCACTGAACGTTTAATTAGCTTGCACATGGTCTGCGCCAAACTTGTCAAAGTGAATACAGAAATAAGTGGTAATTGGATTAGCTTATCTGACGTGCCTTTTACTTATTTCTTTAAATTTTTTTATTGTTTATTTTGCTTCATATAGCTAATAAGACAAAGTATGTTGACCTTTGTAGTCTTAACAGTATTGTTAAGTTTACTCTGTGTTCCTCACAGTCACTTGAGTCAGTCCACTAGCTACAGGGTGATGTATTTAAAATTTGACATTAAAGGCAGAGTAAGTGATTTCTGGTAGTCAATGTTGATATTTGAAATCACCAAAACAAACACCTCTACCCCAAAAGGGTCTTGCCCCTATTTTGATAGCTCCGCCCCTCATATACGTACGCAACCCAGGCAACGATTAGTTCTGTGAAACAAAGCAAAACCAATGTTACACCGTGTCTACGGACGTGAGCGGCGCGGCGCAACAAATCCCCGACAGAAAACTGCTGCCGGGTTCTATTTATGACGTGCTGACACAAATTTCAAATGGTTTTCAACGGTCGTTTGATCGCGTCCAGTGTAGGCAGACTTTAGCTGTTGTAGACACGGTGTTACTCACCTACTGAGAAGAAACATAGCAACCTCGGCGTCCGATCGCAGGCCTCCGCTCCTTGAGTTCTCTCCACCGCTGGAAAGCTGATCCGATATTTACACAGGTCCTACTTCTTGCCTTATCGTTCCACAGACGTTTTCCTCTTGTTTTTTATCCGCCATCTCTATCTTTCTGTCGCTCGGCTAATGTCCGTCCCATGCACTGAACGCGCTCTCCTCCACATCACGAGTAGACACGCCCCTTATTGCTGATTGGCTACAAGTTTGTTTTGCGATTCGGCCCGAATCAGTTTTCTAAAGTGTTTTTGAAAAATCACTTACTCTGCCTTTAATATGACTTTGTTGGTAATATACAATTAAGCAACGTTGTGAATATTTGGGTTATTTTAATGCCACTTTTATCTGTTGATGAAATTTGCTTAAAGACTATGCCAGTAGACCTGTTCTTGAATGTTTATCTAGCATGTTTGTCTAGTCTTGGAGGGCACCATGTTATGAAATGTGTCAAGTTTTAGAGCACAGATAACATACATCAAATTTCAGCCATAAAAGGACAAAAACTATTCAATGTGAAAGGAAGAAGCTTAAGTGAAAGCCTTATCCATACAGTATAAACAGACTTTGTTGGATATTTTCAGACCAAAGAGCTATAGTGTATGTCCTTCAGATTTCATGGGCAGACTTATCTACATTGAAGTTGTTTAAAGGGATATTCAATGCAAAAAAAATAAAAATTGTCATCATTTACTTACCCTCATGTGATTCCAAAACTGTATGACTTTCCTTCTTCTGTGGAAATTAAAAGAAGATATTTTGTAAAATGTCTCAGTGTCTTATTTGGTCTGGAGTACTTGAAGGATTAGTTTATTTCCAGAATAAAAATGTCCTGATAATTTACTCACCCCCTTGTCATCCAAGATTTTCATGTCTTTCTTTCTTCAGTCGAAAAGAAATTAAGGTTTTTGAGGAAAACATTCCAGGATTTTTCTCCATATAATGGACTTTAATGGTGCTCAACGGGTTGAACGTCCAAATTGCAGTTTCAGTACAGCTTCAAATGGCTCTATACGATCCCAGCCGAGGAATAAGGGTCTTATCTAGCGAAATGATCGGCCATTTTCTAGAAAAATAATAATAATATGTATATACTTTTTAACCACAAATGTTCAGATGTGCAGGGTTATTCCAAGACAGGAAAAAAAACTTTCTTGATTTGTCTTTTTGTCCTAAGTCAAGTAACTAATAAGTAACCTAATTGTTCATGAATGAGGTAACGTGTCAAATTGCTCTTGTCTTATCAAAGCTGTCTTCCTTGTCATCTAAGTTACTTGGACCCCACTCATCACAGGTAACCAAAATATTCAGTAATCAAGGAAGTATTTTTAAAAATGGATGATGTTGGTGGTGCGTTCAAATGAGCAGGGAACCTTACAAACCAGAGGAAGATCAAAAGAAGAGCAGAAATGCCCCAGAGACTCAAGCGGTTCCACTTCATCGTGATTACTTGCTGTGCCAGCAATCAAACCCCACAGATTCAACCTTCTTTAGTCCGCTCGCACGGCAGTCAAACTTGTCGTGATGCAGTCTTCACTTCCCATCGTTCTCCGTCAGTATCCTACTCTCCTGCCCAGTTAACACTGGATCGTACCGCTGTGACAGCACTGTCTCATTAATGAGCTCCAGGCCAGGGGGAATGATAAGTGCATGGTGGCATCTGTCTGGGACACTGGGAGCTCACAGGGAGCCGCAAGGTTGTGACACTTCTGTTGTGCGTAGATCTGTCACAACTGACATCAGCTGTCATCAGAAAGAACAAATGTCAGTTTGAAACAGTGTGGAGACGTTTAAATAGAAAGAGATATTATGCATTATGCATACTAAAAAATGTAGTATGTATTCTAAAATCAATGTACTAGTAGTAATGGTGTAAAGGTTGAGTGCATATGTATACTTCCAAGTATACTTTATGTAGTAAGTATTCTAAAATCAATGTACTAGTCATATACTTGTAAGTGTATTATTTCAGTAGTTTATAAAATTAAACTTTAAATGTAAAAGCAGTGAAGTCTGAGTACATATGTATACTTCCAGATATACTTGATGTAGTAAGTATATATTAAAATCAATGTACTAGTTGTATACTTGTAAGTGTACTACTTTAGCAGTCTCTTAGGACTAAATTGGCCCACTTTTAAGAATTTTTTTTTGTTCCACAGAAGAAAGAAAGTCATACTGGCTTAGAATGACATGAAAATATCATGAACAATTGTTTTAAGTTTGGTGAGGTTGTTTCATTTAACTGACTACAGCATGTTCTTTAGCTCTCGTATAAGTTAAACCATTTCAGATATGCATAACATAATTTTTCCCTCAGCAGAAGTGACTAATTTCTTTCCAGTTAGCATAAAGCTCATTACTAATTTGGCTTTGAATATAAAGATGTTCAAATCTTGTTATTAGTACTCTTTGAACATTATATTGTATTTATAATTAGCTGTCAGGATGTGTAAGAATTAACCGCGGCTCTATTTTCATTGAGAAGCCTCTCTGGTTCCAAAGCAGAAAGTGCTTGAACGAAACTGACAGTAACTTTAATTAGCACTCTTGTTTGGTGGCTTAGGCAAATCTCCCACTCTGCCTTACCCGACACTGACTTCATTTATGACTCTAGTGTTCCTGCAAGCAATAAGCCATCAAAGAGCTGAGGGCCAAGGGTTTGGTGTAAGAACAACAAACTGATTTGCGTTTATATCTCAAACGTTTTGTATTTTTCAGATGATAGTGTCAGCTATTCAGTGATGTTGTATTACCATTTCCTGTATTAGTTTCTCTTTGTTTGTTTTTTGTTGTTTTACAAACAAATGGATGTCCTTACAAAACCTGCAAAGAGTGCTACAGTAGCAATTAATATTTTATGAATCAATGGTGCTTTTCGTGTCTGTATTGACAGATTTACCCAAATGGTGTCGAAATCCATTACACTGGATGTCCTTAATGATCTTCAGTGGGGTTTGATGATAAGTAAAGATTACACAAATCCATCATATTTGCATACTGTGAATCAAATCATTGACAGATTACATTTAACCAAAAGCTAAATACACAGATGAGGAGGAACTAACCAACAACCAACCAAGCAACATATTCTGCCTCAACTTCCAAAATCCTACTGTATATCTAAACACCTTGCTAAAGTGTGCCATCATTCAAAGGTGTTGGCTGCATGATAAAGTAGTATATTAAACTCAGCATGAGGTAGGAGCAGCTATTGAAGTATGTGCTTCCGCTGAGCCCGGTGGCCCAGCTGTTACTCTACAGTGAGACTGGCATGCTGAGCAGGCAGGTTGTCATCTCCATTAGAACATGTGGTGAAGGCTCAGTGTGGGGAAATGGGTTTGAGTAAGGGCAGAGAGACAGGCTTTCATGTCAGGTAAACTCCTATCAATCCCAGCCTGACTCTTTCACTGCCACGCATGAGTGGTCCGTTTCAGCTGGGGAACAATCACATAGAACTCTTGCCAGTCATTTGGGATGGACTGAAAAAACAGTCTAGGATGTATGCCAACCTAAACCAGACTGTTGACTCCTGCATATATATATATATATATATTATCTGAAATATTTTATCTGAAATATCTAAAATAGACAATTATTTGGGTTGTTTGGATTTATTTTGTGATTTTACTGAATTACCTTACTTGTCTTGTACTGTATGGGACTTTACTAATGTTACGAATCCTGTCCATGGACTTCCGTCCGATCGCCACCAGAGGTCACTCATCCATCATATTGACTCTCTCACTACACAGACTGTTACACATCACCACGGACTACATTTCCCATCATCCATTGCACTGATTGCACACAGCTGTAACCAATCACACACACACACTATATAACACTCACTCAGATCCTTCTCAAACTGACGAGTATTGTTTAGCGCGTATCACTCTTCTAGCGATAGCTACATTACAGAGCTATTCCTAGTGCCTGGTCCTTGTTCCCAGTTCTATTTCTAGTCTAAGTCTAGTCACTTTGTGCTGCCTTGTTGTCTGTTTCCTGACCTTCTGCCTGTGTTTCTGAGCGGTTTGGACGGTATGCAAACTGGAGCGGATCGAGTGTGTTGGGGAGGCTGGTTTTGATGTTGTGCATGACTAACCTCTCAAAGCACTTCATCATGATTGGAGTCAGTGCTATGGGACGGTAGTCGTTTAGACAGGACACAGGTGATTTCTTTGGTACCGGTATGATTGTTGTGGATTTGAGACATGTGGGGACGACTGCCTGGCTCAGCGAGGTGTTGAAGATATCTGTTAAGACATCTGTCAGCTGTGCAGCACAGTCTCTCAGTACACGGCAAGGTATGTTGCGGGTCCTGACGAGCCTTGCGTGGGTTAATCCTAGATAGGGTCTTCCTTACGTCAGCTGGAGACAGACAGAGCACCTGGTCGTTGGGAGGTATGGGCAGTTTTTGTGCAGGTGTGTCATTCTGCATTTCAAACCGTGAATAAAAGTGGTTACACACACAAGCCACCCCCGCGAGTCTTACCAGACAGTGCTGTATCTCTGTCCGCTCGGTAGCAGGTGAGTCCGTGCAGCTGAATAGCGCAGTCCAGGATATTGTCGTTTAACCATGTTTCAGTGAAAACAAACACACAACAATCCCTTGTCTCATGCTGTGTAGACCGACTGAGTTGAATTAAGTCCAGTTTATTTTCCAGAGAGCGAACGTTTGAGAGCATGAGTGATGGAATTGCTGGTCTAGTGGGGTTAGCCCTTAGCCTAGCTCGTGTGCCTCCACGCTTGCCGCGCTTCTGTCCCCTCTCACATCGCCGGCGTCGCCGTTTTGTGCGGGTAGCGTCAGTAGGCGAGGCCGCGGTCTCGGGGTTCGGCTTCAGCAGCAGACAGAGGCCTCGTAGCTTCTCAGTAGTCACCGGCAAAAGCTGTTGTTTGTACTCACTGCCGATTTCCAGAAGGCTCTGTCGATCATAGATGTGTTTCCGAGTGTTTATCTGATGATTTTGCGATAAGTTGAGACTGTTTGAAGACGAGGAAAAGAGACTAACAGACATAAAAACACAGTTTTTTAATGTTTTTTATACCTGTGTTTTCTGACCCTTGCCTGTTTATTGACCACGCCTTTGTAAATAAAGCCTTGCACATGGATCCACACGTCTCACGTCTCGTTCGCCCCATAACAACTAAACATTGATCCTCCTCCAAGTTCAGAGCTTCTGGCAGATCATTGTTGTTCTCTATTCAGAATTAATCTGGCAGCAAACAGGATGCAGAATTGTAATTCGAATTTAAGGAAGCAGAATTAAAGTGGAATCATGTTCATAGAAATTCAGGTAAATGCTGTAAGTGTAGTTTATATTTTCGTAGTATGAACAACTCAGAAACTTTATCATACAACATCTGGGGAATTTCCAAAATATGGCTGGCAGGCTTTTCAATTCCTTGATACCTTCCACCTCAAGGAGAAACACTAGACTGTTGGACTAAATGCGGTAACTAGAGAAACATTTGCACTACCACAAGTATTTGGCACCACAACTCCATCTTTATCAATATATGTATAATTAAATGTTTTATTAATATTTCTTTATACTATACTGTATCAGTAAATTACTACAACAATAACTGTTACCTGAACTTTAATACCTCAGGTATTCTTACCACACTGCTGCTACGGCAGCAAAAACCACATGCCACTTTATGATTCCATCACTTGTATAATTATTACTACATTGTGCAC